CTCTGGTACCAGACGTGCATGGAGTGCATAGATAGTTATTCAAGAAAAACACCCATGAATATTTTATAAATACCATATATATATGTGTGTGTGTGTGTGTGTGTGTGTGTGTGTGTGTAACATTTTTGGAAAATGCAACCCATAAAATGAAGGTTAGTGTATTAATGTAGGTTAGAATGATGAAACTTGAAGACAGCCACAGAAAAAGAACAGATTTTCATGAATTACTAGTGTGTTCAACATTTTGTTGTGAATATGTTTGTTCAGCACATTTTTTGTAAAAAATTATAAGTACTCTGCATTGTTGGTTCTTGCCTTATATCATTTATTTGTCTGATTTTGTTTGTTTTAAACAGGATCTCACTATGAAGCACTAGCTGTCATAGAACTTGTTGTGTAGACCAGGCTGGCCTCAAACTCACAGAAATCTGCCTACCTGTGCCTTTGGGGTGCTAGGGTTAAAGGGGTATGCCACCATGTCCATCCTTGTGTCTTCTCTTCTGACGTACCTTTTTGTCTGTCAATTTCACTTCTGTGTCTGTCCCCATTTCTGTTTCTCTGTTAATCTCACTGTCCTCTGATATACTGAGTTCACTTCATAGAATCCTCACCAACTTATCCTATTTCAATTTATAAATTGTCTCATGGTAGGGCTGGGTTTCTGGTATGTACTTCTTAAATCCTGTGTTGGACATAGAAGCTGATCACGCACTGGAGAAGCATCTTTGAAGTGAATTCTTAGAGATAATTAGTATTTTAAAGTCATAACATGTGAATTAAAAAAATCATTCTAACTTGTCTGATTTATCCATTATTCTCCATCAGAAGTTCATTTATTCATGAGGATATTGAAGTCCAGATACAAAACTGCTAGTGATGGAACAAGCACAGGAACTCTGATGTCCAAATTGAAATGTTCTTTCACAAGATTTTCTTCCTCGTACTTTTATTTGTATTCTGTTTCTGTCACTCTTCCCCACACTAGTCTCTTTTGCTAACCTCCCAGATGTAGCACCTGCTCAGCCATCCTCTTCTTCCTCTCTCCATAAACATGATCTAAAGAGAAAAACAAGATGTCTTCCCTAAGGCAAACCTTTCTTTCAGATCATTGCCACCTCTGAAGCTAAACTAACATCCATTCCATTTTAAATCAAGATAAAGTCATTTTAACAGTTTCTCTCTTGCCTTGATGGCAGACTAAGTAAGTTCCTGCCTGTGCAAGGTGTATGGCTTGAAATCTAAATGCTTAAAAATGAAGCTTTATTAAAAGATAGATATAATCAATCATTTTTATATTTCACATGATTGTATCTGTGCAATAGTACAGTCGCCTTCACAGAGACATCCCCTGCAACAACTAAAAATTTTTCAATTGAACCTTATATTAAAAAAAAAGTCCTTTCAAATAGTTTTGTGGTGAGAATTCCAAATAGCAAGAGTAGAAACTCCCTAAACAAGTATTCCATCCTTGAATAGAGTCTCATGGAAACTTGAACTAGGACTTGGGTTACCCAAAAAGAATTTTCTATACTCTACCAGTCATGGTCTGTCTGTATGTGGCAAAGAACAGAAATGTAGCTAAGGCTATACCCATAGCTGGGCGCCCAGGTGAATTTTTAGAAGCACTTGCTCTGTGACCTATTTTCTGTATTTTTACTTTTCTGTTTTCTTATATCACATATTAGGTGTTTTACTAAAATTTTTTGAAGGAGATTAATTTAATTTGGAATTTTCCATATGCATTAGAGTTAAGAGGAAACATTCCTTCCCGGTAATGAATGACATATTAGCCAGGAAAGTAGCTAGAGAAGCTAACGAAAAATCCAATGAGAGTCAGTGGAGGAAAGGAACATGCAATGCCTTCAATTGCTGATTCCTCTTGTTCCTGCCAGTGAGAAAGTCAACACATTTATCTGAGCTCAGTCAGCCCCCAGTTTAGACTCAGCAAGCTGAGACTTTCAAGGTCACAATGTCACATGCATGAGAAAGACAGGTAACAAACACAGACTAATTAAATACAAATAGAGACGTCTGGGCTGGTCATGTGCTTGAATTCCCCATAACTCATCCCTGGTGCTTTAAACAGGATGAGGAAGAATGCCCTTAGACCATGTTGCAAAATCAGTGATGGTTATAAATGAGAATTCACTAATATCATTGAGCACAGATATTTTGCACAAAGAGTACAAAAGAATATATTATTATGGGGTCAAGAAACTTTCAACATCATTAGCTATAAAACATCAAAAAATACTTCGAAGTACTTGAGAAGTTCATGAAAATCTTGTGATGTTCTTACAAGCCTAAGAATCTAAAGACTATATCAGGATATGTTTTTTCCTTATTTGTTCAACTGCTGTACATAACTGACTACATAAAGTATGCATTTCTATATAAGACATATATACATTATACACACATATTTACATGTATATATAAAACCATATTGTAATCCTGTTATCTTAGTATCCTGACTATCTTGGATCATCTCTACCATTTCCACTCACAGACAACTATCACAGAAGCCACCATCATTGTTCCTGAGCTTGCCATTTCTGAACCTAACATCCTATGCTAAGTATGGTATTTCAAATATGGTATACTCATCATTATTAGCCTTCAGCTTAAATTTAGATAGTATGAACAGGATCAATTCCTTTAAAAGTGACCATTCATTTTAATGTCCATTATATAAAACACTTTTGTAAAAAGAAATTAAGAAAAAAAGAGGTTTGGATGCTAGAAAGATGGTTAAGATATGAAAGTACATACTGTTCTTGTAGAGAACCCAAGCAAGGTTTCCAGAACCCATATCCTGTGGTTCACAAATGCTTTTAACTCCAGCTCAGGAAGGTCTAGCATTCCCTTCTACCCTTTGTGGACACCACACTCAAATTCACACATATTCTGATAAACACATATACAGATAATTAAAAATAAAATATTTTTTTCTAAAAGAAAAAGAGTCTATTCAATTCTCAAAATGTAACACTTTACACACCATACTTAGTGGTCTGCATGCATGTAGGTGTAGAAATATTACTAAGTTGACCAAAGGCCTGAGATGAGTACTTGTTTTCCTATATGTCCACTACCTCTCTTTGATGATTAAATCAATCTCTTATCATTTAACAGACCCATGTTCTGTTGTCTTGTTTTTGCAGGAAGGAACTCTGAAAATTATATATCTACCCATGCTCTTACACTCCTGCCTGGAAGCCTCCATTCTTTCCCTCTCAGAAGGACTGAACATGATAACAAACATGTAGGCTCACCGGGTGAAGCACTGAGGGACACAGTGGTACACTGAGCTAGTTATTGAAAGAAGTCTTTCCTAATTCTCTTTCCTAAAGACCCAGGTCTCAGATGAGAATCTGGGGAAGTTCTGAGGGTGATATTGGATGGTACAACTTCCAGCATTGTCACGGGAGTCAGCAGCAGATCATTGAAGAGTAAGAAGATACCCCCTCATTCTGGCCACTGCTCCTTCTACTTTTTAAATTTTTTTCTGATTCTTGGGAATCAGTTAATGGCAACTTCCTACCTTGGACTCCATTTAAACCATTTGTTTTGAGTATCTATATTGACCCAACGCTTAAGGCCTTTTCTTTGCCAATAGCAGTGGATACAAAATCGTTTTGTCTTTTACTTTCTTCCCCCTCATCTGAAATTCTCAAGTGGGGACAGTTTTGCTTGGAGAAGACATGGGAATTTGTCAAAGGTGGTCACTACTGCAAGAAAGAGGAAGTGCTCTTTGTACCTTAAGATTCTGCTAAACACCCTACTGGGTGCACAGAATAGATTCCTACAACAAAGACTTCAGAGGCCCCCCAGTGTCAAGAGTATCAAGATGGAGAATCTGTCTTCTCCTAATACAGTACTTTGTCACAGTGACCAAAGTATCAGACAGATAAATTAAGAGAGGAAAGATTATGGCTTGTGGTTTAAAATGTGACAGAGCAGAGCCATTTATGTCACTGCAAGCCAGGCAGCAGAGAGGAGAATTCAGACACTCCTGATTGTCTCCTTTCTTAACTGCCTTTTTACTCAGCTTGGGCCTCCAACCCAGCAGTGGAGCCATCTACATTCTAGGGAGGAATTAGCCCTCAGTTAACCATCTCTGGAAATGCCCCCATACACAGAGCAAGGGGTGTGCCACTTCAAATTCCTAAACAATTCAAAATCCTATTGTATTGATAATGAAGATTAGACATCCCAGCTAAGTTGTTTTACTAGCAGCAAAATTTTAAAACTCACCCAAGAATGATAATTTTACATAGTGAGTGCTTTTTCTAAACAAATGTGGGTAGAAGTCAGTAGGTTAGCTTAGTGGTAGAACATGTGTTTTCTGGTTTAGCATGAGTGAGTCCCTGGGTTCAACACCCAATACTGCATGGGAGAAAACTTTGCCTGGCTCTTGAGGATGGATTCCTCCATTAATTCTGATAATTCCTGTTTTAAAAATGCAATTATTGAGAAAAAATTACGACTTCCTTAAAAATCACTTGATAGTTCATCCTGTTTTCTTCATGTTTGAAATATAGTGTTGCCTGATTCTGCCAGGAGCCTGCCTTGCAATTTATAGATCAGATTGCTAGCAATGGAAACTTGGTGTGAATGTAGGAGGTTAGAATGACCCTAGGACAAGGTATATATACACTATGAGTGATTATCAAATAAACAATGGTGTGTGAAAGATCACAGTTCCAGAGAGTCTCACATTTGAAATGTCAGAGTACCTAAGTTTATATCTGAGAATCTGAAAACCTGAAGTCTGTCTTGTGACCTTACTCTTACTCACTTTCCTACTATGGTGAACTGCTCCCACCAGGTGAGTTGGTTTCTTATATTCCCACAACCTTTGGAAGGAAGGGGTTGCTGTTTGGATAATTGAATTCTAAATTTAGATCTCTGAGTTTCCAATGAAAAAGCTTTCCGGGAACCTATGGTCATGGGCATTAACAAAAGCCCTGGGGTTATAAATAACCATGGAGGAAAGCCTTCATCCTGTCTACAGACGCAGTGAGCTACCATGAAGACCTTCTTCTTCCTTGCCTTCCTTGGAGCTGCTGGTGAGTCTCTTTAATGAACAAATCAGTAAGAATTATTCATGCACCTAAATTAGTACTTTGTGCCCTGGAATACAGAGTTTGTATATAGGAGGCTTAAAATGTTGGTGCAACATTTTGCATTGGATGTATTTATGGACAATTAAAGTTTGCTTGCATTGAAAGATCATGTTTCAGCATAGGTAGCATAAATAAGCAGACTGTCTTTAACTTCCAGGTAGAGTCCATGAATTAGGGGGTAAAGGATAAAGAACATAACAAAGGGAGTATTGGTATTGACCTCTCTGGAATACTGATATTAATAACAGTAATTGGGACTGGAGGGATGCCTCTCTGTTTGGGAACATGTACTTCTCCCAGAGAACGTGAGTTCAGTTCCCATTATTGATATCAGCAAGTTCACAACTATCCATGATGCCATCTCCAGAAAGGGAAGGGGAATCTTCTGGCTACCTCAGGCACTTGCACTCACATGCACAATCCCCACCTATATGTTTCAAAATAGAGTATTTTTTTTAAAGAAGAGTAATCTGTGCTTCTTGAAGACAGTGTTAGTATCAAATATGGGCTTCCTGAATACTGAAAGGCTTATTATTTGGTCCAGGGATCAAATTTTATTTCTCATGGAAAGAAACTTGTGGGCTACAATACACTCATATTTACTAATAAATTCTCCCTTATGTGAATCCATAGGCCATTCAAATCATTAAACATTGGGACATTACCACTTCTAGGTTAGTCTTAGCAATTTATTAATTTTCCACAGGACAGGGATGGTATTTTGGACTTAACCCAAGACTTAGTACATACCAGCTACAACATGTATATGACCCTCTATTTCATTTTTAACTTTCATGCAGAGTCTTGCTAAATTATTGAGGTTGCCTGAGAGTATATGCTGTACCCTAGACAGCCCTTAAGCTTGCCATTGTTCTGTCTCAGCCTTTAACACACGCCTGGGCCAAATGCACGAATGTCACTAAAGTTTTAGTACTGAGTGTAATACTAGAGTCTCCAATACTCAGCAGTATAAATGAGATGTACATTTCAACACTCCTGGAAATATCTTAGGTAATGAAATTACTGAATTCATAAAAATAAAGGAAGATTCTGGAACTGTAACAAATCTTGATGGCAGAGGATCCTACTACACAATATAGGAGCACATATTGCCACGGTTGTTGGCATAAACGGAAAGATTAGGGAAGGCAATCCTGTAATGTTTGGTAAAAATTTAGGTGACAAGCAACACAAGAGATAAGGAGAACAGAAAAATTAAATGAGTGTTTTCTTCTAAACTAGAATGCTCTAGGGGTGCTCCGTAAGTTTTCCTTGTTCCCTTAATGGAGACAGGCATGCCATGCCAACAACTCGCCATTGGTCAAGATTAACACAAAGCTATCCATTTGTATGACTTTCCAGCAGGGTTCTGCTTTAAAGTATCCCTCCAACAGATCCATCATTCCCTGATTATATGAGATAGCAAAACAAAACAAGTGTAAATCAGTCATCTTATGGTGGTTTCATTTACAAGAACGTCAAACTTTCTTCTTAGTTGCTCTCCCCATAAATGATGACGATGACAAGATTGTTGGAGGTTACACCTGTCAGAAGAATTCTCTCCCCTACCAGGTGTCCCTGAATGTTGGCTACCACTCATGTGGTGGTTCCCTCATCAATTCCCAGTGGGTTGTTTCAGCAGCTCACTGCTACAACTCGTAAGTGGCCAATATTCACATTTCTATGCTCTAAAGTCATGTTTTTCTTTAACTTTTTCAGAGTATAATTAGGCATCATGCAAAGTTGTACAGGATGATGGAAGCATTCAGATATTGGGCTCTAGAGGTGGCTCAGTGGCTAGGAGCATGTGGTGCTCTTCCAGAGGGCCTGAGCTCGATTCCCAGCACCCACATCTGATGGTTTACAACCACATGTAACTCCAGTGCCAGGTGATCTTGTGCCTTCTTCCTGACTCCATGGGCACCTGCATTCACACATACACATATTCATACACAGACATACACATATAATTAAAAATAAAAAATAAATTGTTTTTAAGAAATCAGATACTAAGAGCTTGATTCTATCGCAACAATTTTATGATTTGTTGAGAAACATTTATGTGGAGTTTTGCTTCACAACTCACTACTATCTCAAGACCAGAAACAAAACAGTAGTTAATAAAGTATGTGTTCAGATTGTGAATCACTACATAGCTCTAACAAGGGGAAAAGGGCAGGTGGAGATAAAGCCCATTGAATCTTAAGTACACTATTAAAAGCAAACATCCATGATTCTGTTCCCATAACATTGCACTCCTTTTCAGTCAAGCACAGTGGCTCACACCTTTAATCCCAGCACTCCTTTTCCGATTCCTGCTTCATCATGCTATGTATTCCTATTTGTCTCAATATCTCAAATCTTTGTGTATTTTGTATATCTGAAATTCTTGGAAATTATAACCAGAGGAAACACGGCAAATGCCAACCGATTTCTATCAATTAACTGTTCATCTCCAACAATTTAGCAGGGGTGTTTCTTCCCATCTTATATCTTGTATTTTAATGTATACTGGACTGTGAGTCTGTACTAGCAGGGATGCTTTTGCAAGAAATTCTATAAGTTGTAAGTAGCAAGAAAGTGCACAATGCACAAGGGTATAAAGTCACCTTATGAATAAATGTAATTTGTATTTATTCTCATGATTGAGAAATTGGAAGGAAGGGGAAAAATTAAAGAAGGATATTTTTAAAATGCTAATCTTTACATCCAGTCGAATCCAGGTGCGCCTGGGAGAACACAACATTGATGTCCTTGAGGGTGGTGAGCAATTCATTGATGCAGCTAAAATCATTCGCCACCCTAAGTACAACAAAAAGACCTATGATAATGACATCATGTTGATTAAGCTGAAATCATCTGCTGCTCTCAACTCTCGAGTGTCCATTGTCTCTCTGCCAAGTTCCTGTCCATCAGCTGGTACTAAGTGTCTTGTATCTGGCTGGGGCAACACCTGGAGCAGTGGCAGTAAGTATCACTGGGACTTGATTGCCATGTATGAGAAGAGTAAAGATGAAAGGCATGTTGGGAGCAAGAAGGTCCAAATTATTACTCAAGGGAAGATTCTCTGAAGGAAGATTTAGATACAGGCAGTCTTAAAATGCACAAATTAGAGTGAAGAAAATACTTGTGCTGAGACCATAGAGTAGACACAACAAAAAACAAACTGTTAGAAAAACTCTAGGTATTCTGCTGAAATGGGGGATGTAAGTAGACAGATGCTGAAGATTTTGGTCTTCCTTTAAGTCTATGCCTGTTGAGAGCTGTGGACAACAAGGCTTGCACCAGATTTGTTTTAATTGCTGTTGTGAATTGAATAAAATTACTTAGCAAACTTTCTCAGAAAATGTTCTGCACAATTACAAGTCATGGGGAACTAAAAGACCAAGGAAGTGTTAAGAAAGAGGAAGAAGGTGACAATGATGTTTCCAAGAGCACTGGGTAATCTTCCTTTTCCATTCTTGTGTTTGACAGCCAAAATGCCTTCACTCCTTCAGTGTCTTGATGTCCCTGTCCTCTCTAACAATTCTTGCAAAAGTTCCTACCCAGGCAAGATCACCAGCAATATGTTCTGCCTGGGCTTCCTGGAGGGTGGAAAGGACTCCTGCCAAGTGAGTTTATTTGTGGTTATTCTTCATTCTCTTTCTTCATTACTCCTGCTTCTCTGGAAAATAAAACGAAAAGAACATTAATGTCTCAGAGACTGTTGATGAGGGATAAAGAGTAGATTTGGAATAAACTACAAACTGTCTCTATAATATTGATGATTAGGACTAAATATAAAAATGATGTACAGAAATTACTACAAACATTTCACCTGACCAAGTACCTCAAAAGCTTTATTGTAAACTTTACCTTTGAAAAACAGAAAATCTTTTAAGAAGTTGAGAAAGGATTCAGTCTCCCCAGTTCTCACATTGTCATGAATTGATAGGTTGACAAGGAAAGAGGTGGGTCTATAAAAAAGGAAGTTATAGAATATTGGCATACTACAAGGACTGCGGCTTGAGTTTCTGGGTGTAGGGAAGCTATTTCATGGAGAACCAGTGAAACTGGCCCAAGATCATGGAGTAAAAGCTTAGTCCATCCTCTCATTTAGATGTATGTGAGAATTTTTCTTCTATTTTCCTTGTTATTCAGGGTGACTCTGGTGGCCCTGTGGTCTGCAATGGAGAGCTCCAAGGTGTTGTTTCCTGGGGCGATGGCTGTGCATTGAAAGGGAAACCTGGTGTCTACACTAAGGTCTGCAAGTATGTGAGCTGGATTCAGCAGACTATCGCTGCCAACTAAGCGCCTTTATCACTTAACAAGCCATCTCTCTGTATTCAGAGTCACCTTACTTCTATCCCCCATCACAATAAAAACATTTTCTTCTTACCACGTCTGTCCATGTATGATTCTTGTTTGATAATGATGAACTTTCTCCTGAGACTTACTGAAAAATGAGAAAAAGTACAGAGAGTTGGATTATTTTATAAAGATGATTGTGAAAGTTATTTAGTATCTCATTCAAATACCATTTGGTAATTTATTATTCTATCTGATAAAGTTTATTTGAATATTTGGCTATAATATACACTCTTTTTTTTTTGGTTTTTTGAGACAGGATTTCTCTGTGGCTTAGGAGCCTGTCCTGGCACTAGCTCGAACTCACAGAGATCTGCCTGCCTCTGCCTCCCGAGTGCTGGGATTAAAGGCATGTGCCACCATCACCCGGCATAATATACACTCTTATGATCCAAAATGGTAGAACTAATGTTACCTATTTTTTCTAATACTATATCCCCTCTTTTTACCTTCAGAAAGAGATCACTGAAACTGATCGCTATTGTTTGTCTATCTCCCTGACCATGATCAGTGACAATTTGTAATAAACCCCTCTTACCTACCTACCAAATGACCAAAAATCAACCACCCAACCTCTTTGGAATGTGGACATAGGGTTCTCTAGTGTGCTTCCTGTTGTTTGTGGGTGACAACATCTTTATGGAACCTGGGGAAATTGATATAATGGTCAAGTTCTGGAAAAACTAGTCATAACATTTGCTTCTCAATCTCTGTGTAATGGGAAAACTCGAGGCTTATTTGTACCCTGGATAGCTCAGTTGGTAGAGCAAAAGACTCTTAATCTAGGATGATGGGTTTGTGCCCTATGTTGGACACCATATATAGGCAGACTTGACTTTGGACTGAGAGATTACCAAAAAAACAACGAGACTTATTAAATATCTGGCTTAGGCTTGTTTCTAACTAGCTCTTATAACTTAAATTAACACATTTCTATTAATCTACATTCTTACCTCTCCTCCTCTATATCTTGCTTCCTCTGTATCCTATTGGCAACTCCTTTTTTCTCAGATGTCTCTGTCCTCAGAAGTCCTACCTAACCACTTCCTGCTTAGCTAATGGCCATTCAACTCTTTTTATTATTTATTTTTTTATATTACCACAGATCTTCCTCCCTCCCCTCTTCCATTACCCCTACCTTCTACCTTCTTCCACTCCTCAGAAAAAGTAAGGCCTTCTTATTGGGAGTCAACAAAGTCTGACATATTAACTTGAAGCAGGACCAACACCCTCCCCCTTCATCAAGGATGAGCAAGGCATTCCACCATAGAAAATGGACTCCAAAGTCAGTCATTTACCAGGGAAGAGATCCTGGTCCCACTGCCAAGGGCTCCTCAAACAGACAATGCTACACAACTGTCACCCACATGCAAAGAGCAACACACAGGTTTGTACAGGCTCATACAGGTTCCCAGCTATTAGTCTAGAGTCTATGGGACCCCATGATCTCTGGTCAGCTGCCTTTGTGGGTTTCTTCATTATGATCTTTAATGACTTGCTCATATAAACCCTCCTCCTGCTCTTCTACCAGACTCTGGAAATTTAGCCTAGTACTTGGCTGTGGATCTCTGTATTTGCTTCCATCAGTTACTGGATGAAAATTCTATGATGACAATCTGATTATGAGAGAAGGTCCATTCAGGCACCCTTTCAAATACTGCCTTCATTTTTCCTGGGCTCATCCTTGTGGATTCCAATTTTCCTAGTACCAGGTTTCTCACTAATCCCCAAAAGTCTCCCTCAATTAAAATATCTCTTTCTTTGTTCTCCCTCTCTGTGTTTCCCCCAACTCTATCATCCCATTTCTCTTGTTATCCTCCCTCCTTCCTTTCTCTTCTCCCCCTCCACTTTCACCCTCCTCCTTTTCCTCCAGGCTTCCAATTTACTCAGAGATCTTGTCTATTTTCCCTTCCTAGGGATATCCATATGTGTCTCTTGTAGGATCCTCCTTGTTACCAACCCAGACCTAGAATGACAAACACAGTGTGTACTCACTGATAATTGGATATTAGACATAAAGCAAAGGTCAAAACCACAGAGAAGATATGTAACAAGTAATAATATTTCAATAAAAAGACCAGTAAGTAAAGACATCTAGTGAACGTTATAGGTTTGGTACCAAATGTCAGAAGCAATAGGACTTCTTAGTGATTATCACAGATACTAGTATTGTTATATGTTTCAGCTTTGATCACAATAGCTTCTTTGGATTATAGTGCTTGTTTATAAAGGAGGTGGTGAGGGATGGAAAGAAGGAGGGAAGGAGAGAGAAAAGAGAGTGAGGAGAGACTGGAGGAAGGCTATGAAGACTTTTATGAACCAACCTGATTATAGGGGAAGACTAGTTCAGGCACACTCTCCACTATTGCTAGGAGTCTTAGCTGAGGTTATCCTTTTGAATTCCTGGGAATTTTTCTAGGACCAGATTTCTTCTTAACCTTATAATGACTCCCTCTATTAAGATATCTCTTTTATTATACTATGATTCTGTCTCCCCCATCTCAACCATCCTCTTCCCTCATGCTCTCATCCCTATCTCCTCCCCTCTACTACCATCTGACCCCAGTTTGCCCAGGAGATCTCATCTGTCTCCCTTCCCAGGAGGTTCCGTGCACCCCTTGTAGGGTCCTTTTTGTTACCTAGTTTCTCTGGAGCTGTGGATTATAGACTAGTTATCTTCAGTTTTACATCTAGTATCCACTTATGAGTGAGTACATACAGTGTTTGTCTTTCTGGGTCTGGCTTACCTTGCTCAGAATAATTTTTTCCTAGTTTCATCCATTTGCCTGCAAATTTCATGATGTTATTAAATTTCACAACTCAGTAATAGTCCATGGTGTAAGTGTACCACTTTTTAAAAATCTATTTTTAGTTGAGGAGCAAGTAATTTGTTTTCCGGTTCTATTGAGTAAAATATACTTGTAGTATTTTAAAAAGTATCTTTTTCTAACTTTAGCACATACTCTTGATATCAAATAGAAACAAAGAGAACAATATAAAGAATCAATGAAACAAAGAGTTGGGTCTTTGAAAAAAACCAGCTATTTATTAAACCAATTACAGTGACACATCTTCACACAGTGTAAAGGAATATACCACAATACAGAAAATGATGAGGAAGGATTATAGAAGGTAGAGGGGTCAAGACGCTACAAAAAAAAAAAATACAGTGCAGAGCCCATAAGAGCTCACAGAGACTCAACCTACAATCAAGAAATCTATATGGGTGTGACCTGCATCCTCTGCATAATATTATGGTTGTATAGCTAGATTTTGCTGTGGGACTCCTAATAGTGGAAGAAGGGGCTGTCTCTGACTACTTTGCCTGCACTGGGAGGACTCTTTTCCTCCTACTTGATTGTTTTGACCAACCTTAAGGATATATGCCTACTTTTATAGTAACTTGAGATACCATATTTGCTTGATATCCCTTGGAGGCCTGCCTATTTTTGAGGGCAAAGAAGGAGGAGTGGAACTAGTGGAATGGTACTTAGCTGCAGGAGGGACTGGAAGAAGAGGAAGGCAGACATACTGCATTATGAATGCAATATATGAGAGAATAAATAAAAAATAGATATATCAACACCATGTAATGAATAGTGAGCAAGTTTAAAGCCTTGAGTCCACCAAGATAAAGACAAATGCCCTGTTAATGTGGGCTATACTATGAAATATGGCCCATGGCTTCATGAGCTGAACTGTATCTTCAGTTCATGGTCCAGTTATGTGAGGTGGGGTTGAGTGGGGAAAAGCTGATAACAGGGCCATGTCTTTTGTAGCAAGGAGGAGTGGGCCATGTCCTGCCACCTGGCTAGCTTAATCCCCAAAATAACCACACAGAAATTGTATTAATTAAATTACTGCTTGGCCCATAAGCTCTAGCCTCTTATTGGCTAACTCTTACATCTTGATTCAACCAATTTCTAATAATCTGTGTTACCAAGAGGTCATAGTTTGATATGGGAGTGTAATATATCAATCTGTTGATTTCATTGGTTAATTAAATAAAGAAACTGCTTGCCCTGATAGGTTAAAACATAGGTGGGAGGAGTAAACAGGAGGAAGAGGAAGTGAGGTAAGACTCCTCAGACTGACGCAAGATAGCTCTGCTCTCAGAGACACACGCGATGAAGCTCCGACTCAAAATGGACATAGGCTAGAATCTTTCCGGTAAGCGCACCTTGGGGTGCTTACACACATTATTAGAAATGGGCTAGTCCAGGTGCGAGAGTTAGCCAAGAAGAGGCTAGATATAATGGGCAAGCAGTGTTTAAAAGAATACAATTTGTGTGTTGTTATTTCGGGCATGAGCTAGCAGGCAGCCGGGGTGCTGGGGACGCAGCCCCGCCGCTCCTATCACTACAATGGTTTACCAGGAAAGATTCAGCATGTCTCACCTGGCAGCTTCATGATGGCTTGGCTTGATATGCTGCTTTCTTCCTCCCAGAATTCAGTTCTGTCTCTCTGCCTACATAAGTTCTGCCCTATCACCAGGCCCAAAGCAGTTTTTTTATTAACCAATGAAAGCAACACAAATATAGAAGGACCCCCTACACCATTTCCCCTTTTCTGTTTAAAAAGGAAAGGAAGGCTTTAACTTTAACATAATAAAATTACATATAACAAAACAGTTATCAAGCAAGAATTACAGTTACAACATTAATATCTATTTTATTATTTATCATAACAAAGGAAAGCTATAACTAACTATTCTTCAACTCCAAAGACTCCAGAAGGATATAATATTACCTAAGTAACAAGAAATAAGAAATTTCCAAAACTCTAGAATTGACAGAGACATCTCACTGCCTGGTCAGTCACCCAAAGTTTTTCTGTACCATTGGGGCATCCATCTTCAACCTACAGGCCCATAGTTTCCAGCAGACTTTTCCATAAAGCAGGAAATTTCAAAGACAGTTTAGTCACTTTCTTCTGTATCATGCAGAATGTCTTGCAGGCTCTTTCATGAACAAAGAACCCTGAAGGATCATCTCACCTTTAGGCAAGTTCAGCAGTCCTTTCTCTGGGAG